TGTGCAATCAGTGAAACAGCTGTGTGCAATCAGTGCTGTGTGCAATCAGTGAAACAGCTGTGTGCAATCAGTGCTGTGTGCAATCAGTGCAATGAATGATGGGATATGTAGTCCGGGGTGATATGCAACAGTGTGTCGTGCGAGAGTCAATGAAAATGGAAAGGGTGACCTCTGATGGCTAGCAGACGGAAGTTCATGGACCGGATACGTAACAATAATCATGAGGAACATTTTATGAAATCATTTGATTGTTCTTGAAGTAGAGATTATGTAAAGAGATATCATTAACTGCCAGTACATCATGTCTTGGTGTTTACATTTCTCAGTTTGCTGGCATGTACTTCGATATTTTGATATATCTAGATATTTTTAACGAGGTTACAGTAAATATTAGTGAACATTTGGATAAAAATCATCTGCTAACCTGCAAATGACTAACAACGTAAAATAATATTCAGCATTGTCTGAAAAGTAAATAAAAGTCAGAACTCAATCATGTTACAATACTGAATTGCCATATGAACTAAAACATATCTGTTGTAGTAAACAACTTGTATATGTTTAACAAGCCTGTGCCGTGTGTGATATTTGAACATACATAAATATAAAGAATATAAAGTAATTCAAAACTAAAATAAGTCATAAAACAATTGAATGCTTTTTATTAAACACAGTAACACTTAAGGTACAATAAGGTTGCATTTGTTGCCATTAGTTAACTAACATGAACTAACAAAGAAAAATACTTCTAAAGCATTATTAGTCTTAGTTTATGTTGATTTATATACCTTATTAAAACCAAAAGTTGTGTCTGTTAATATTATTTAATGGACCTGAGTGAACATGAACAGCTGGATTTTTATTAAACAATGTTACCAAAAATATAAAGTACGGTAATAAATGCGCTAACAACTGGATTACTTAGTTTTAGTTAATATTAGTTAGTGCATTAACTAATGGGACCTTATTGTAAAGTGTTACCAAAATATTATTATACTACCGTCACAGTTTTAAAATAAAACTAATTTAAAAACAGAACCAAATATGTGACACAAAACTGTGCCTTAAACATTATTCAAGAGGTATTTGAATCCCGCTTGAATCTCACTGTTTATTAGAAGAGTGTATTTTTTCTTTTTCTTTACTGCTTTTGACAGCTGTTTGAAATCATAACCGGAAAGTAATTCATTTTTAATTATTTTTATGACAGACAATGGAAAAAATAAAGAAGATAAAAAGAAAGTATCCTGCAAACAATGTGACAGTAGCATGGAAAAACTGTAAATGTGTGAGGAAGAAACCTTGAGTGGATTCAAGACTCTAATCAAACATTTCTGTCACTCACTGACTGTTTGATAGATAGATAGATAGATAGATAGATAGTTAGATATACTGTTAGATGTGATAATCATTCATTTTATTTTTGGGCAATACAATCTATTTTTTAGGAAGGTGAAACTCGCACTCGAGTTAATGAAAACAATGAAACCATAAAAAATGAGTGCAGTTTGTCAAAATCTTTATTTCAACACATGTACAATGACATAATATATTAACAAATATTTATAACAAGCAAAACATAACTAAAAACAAAATTAAAAAGGACCTCATGATTCAAAATGATAGTTTTGATACCAACAGTGTGTCAATGTGTAGCAAATCTACATCAATACATAAAAACATCAATATGGTTTGTTATCCTAAAGAGTCATGTATTTTCAGAGAAGAGTTTTCAGTCTTCATTCCTGAGCAGACTACATCTGAAATCCACATCATTCCTTGGGTCAGAACCGAATTTCAAACAGAGAGCATTACACTTCTCCAACACGCTCAAAGCTAGCTTATTTCTTTTCAGAGCAGAGGATTCAATTAGTGACTGACGATGACGTTTTTTTATTTTGCTCGGTTGCGGAAGAGGGTGACGGGGTGGTTGCGAGCTATCAGCTCACGTCTTATCTGACAGTAGGAGCACGGACCGCAGCAGAAGGACAACACACAATCATTGCAGATAGAGTCCTGTTAGAGAGAGAGAGAAAGAAATGAGTCAGTCACTAAACATAAAACTGACATCTAATACTAGTATCAAAGAATATTCTACATCACACATAAAGGATTCTTCATTTAATAAAGGCCAGCTGACTTAACTTCATGCACAGAGTTTTTTCTCTTGCTTTAAGTGTAACCTTGCTGTATTTATATGCCTAAAAAAAACAGAATTTTCAACCCCTAAATAAAAAGAATTATTTATAATAAAAAAAAAATATATATATAACTAATAATTAAAAATATAATACGTTTTTTGCTAACATTTATAAATGAATTTATATTTTATTTTTACTGGAAAACATGAAAAAAAAAATCGTTTTTCTTTTTTTTGCAGTGAAGTCAAAAGTCATTACCTCAATTCCATAGGTGCGTCGGACAGACACTCTCATGGCCATACTGATGGGTGGGAAGAGACCAAAACTGTCCAGCAGAGGCAGGCAGAGACACTCTCCGTGATCTCTGGCTGTGATGCAGGCGAAACATGGGCAGCACCAGAGCGCAAAGCAACCTGCCGAACAAGAAGGGAAAAATCAGTCACCATGTGAAAAAGAGAAGAAACGTACAGATATACTCGATTCAGATGCGTTAAATATTATATGAAGACACAAAATCACTCACAGTCATTGAGGTTGTCACATTCACAGATGCCAGTGGACCACTGGTCAGAACCAGGAGCCAGAACAAGTGGCTTGGGCTGCTGAATAACTATTTTAGTTGCCATGATGACTTGTGCTCTGAAAGAGAAAAACCAAGAAAACTGAAACATGCATTTAAGGTCAGCTCTGTATTTGTTATGTGCATTAACAAATTTATTAACTTAGTATGCATATGCAGTTCTTACCGTGTGAGAGGAGAGACAGTTGGGGATGACGATAGAGATTAGTACTGAGCCTTTGTGACAATCTGTGTGACACTTTATAGAACCATCAGTGACCAAACACACGTACACACGTGTAGAGACAAAAGATTCGTAGCATTTCTCCACAGAGTCAGAGCAGGTTAGTCGGGTACATGCTTTTCTTTTTATCGATAGATTTTTGGGTGATTACCAGTTTTGCTGACGTGAGACTCATCTTAATGAGACTGTGTAGCCTATACTGATACTGAGAACTACCTATGAGAAAGAAAAGGTAGAAAACAAGAAAAATGCATCACACTCACCAAGATCCTCTAGCCAAATCATTTAAATTTGAATTGTATCAAGCATTTCATCACAATAACTGCAAAAGTGGAAAGCGTTCTGGACATCAAATTTTGCAGTAGTGCCATGTCAAACATTTTTGTCATTTGTCAAATTATCAGTCTTCACACAAAATATCTAACTTAGTGCATGCAGTATGCATTATGGGATGTTCATAAAGTACTATTTTTACAGTAATATATACCTTAAAATTAAACAAGCACTACCATTAAAAAGTTTGGACACAGCATGTTTTTTTTTTTTTTTTTAAATAAATACTTTTTGACTTAGCAAAGATGCATTCAATTGATCAAAAGTGATACTGAGGACATTTATAACGGTTTATATTTCAAATAAATGCTGTTATTTATCCAAGAATTTAGAAAAAAGGTGTCAATTTCCACAAAAATATTAAGCAGCACAACATTGTTTTCATTGATAATATTAAGAAATAGCACCAAATCTGCATATTAGAATGATTTCATACGGATCACAAGACACTGAAGAGTGGAGTAATGCTACTAAAAATACAACTTTGCCATCACAGGAATAAAATACAAATCATAAATCAAATAAATGCAGCTTTGGTGAGCATAAGAGACTTTCAAATACATTACAAAATCTTTAACCCATCACAAAGTACATGCACCTGTAAAGTCATAACTATGGAAAAATCTGTTATGAAAAACATAGGCTATTACATTTTATTACATCAACTTTTATGCCAATTTATTAAACAGTTAGCTAGGCCTGTCACGATAACAACTTTTTGTTGTGCGATATATTGCCCCAGAAATAATAGCGATAAGCGATATTATTGTCATTTAAAGACCATTTTATGTCACTGAATATATAATCACAATGTAACAGCATAATAATGCAAGAAGGCCACACACTTCCAAATGACAACAAACTTTTAATTTTTAAGAATATTTAGATCATGGAAATTAAGTGTCAAAATATTAGATACCTTAAAAAACCTGAATAAATAGTAAATAACTAAACATTTTCTAACAAAAGTGCGAAGTAACAAGTAGAAAAAAGAAAAATGCACAAAGAACTTGTATGGAGATTTTTCCTGCGTCACCAAAAATTATTGAGGTCATGTACATATATTGCGCGATAAGTCGATATATTGATTATTGCGACAGGCCTAGTTAGCTACCTACAATGACATGTCACTCAGGGTTGGACCACCCTAGTGAGGAGACTAACAGGTGTGAGACTTTCTCCTAATGAAGCCATTTGGGTGATAAGACTTATTTTCATTACATTAGGTGGAATTCACACTGTAATTGCATAAAGAATTATTATACCATTACTATGACTGAATCACAAACTGGCTTCCTAAATTGTAGCATTTTCAACGCATTAAATCTTCCAACATATGATCGCTAAAACACAATTCTTAAAGGGGTCATATGATGTTGCTAAAAAGAACATTATTTGGTGTATTTGGTGTAATGACATTCATGGTCATCTTTACCCATGAGAACCCCTAGAGGGTGTGTTGGAGAGATGGCACAACAAATACTTATTAGATCACTTGTTGATATGCGTTTCTTAAAGGAATAGTTCACCCAAAAATGACGCCTATGTAATCATGTAGGCCTATTTATGATCCATCAGCCTGATTTTTGACATTCCACACAGCAGACAGCATTTAGTGAAAATTACATGCTTGAGGGTGTTATAAATGTTGTTCCCACAACTTCTTTGTACTCTTTCCATAAATGGCAGCAATGCAATTGCTTAATTTAACACAAAACATTTAAACCATGATTTTGCCATGCAATAAAAAATGCTCTCCGATCTGCTTGTATGTTATGCGTGATTTCTGTGATATAAAATATGCACCATAGAATATGCATATAAACATTCACACGTCTGGAACAAATTCATAACGCTGAAACAAATATTACACAACTCTAATTTAGCCTTGTGTGCGCCTATGATGCATATAATAGAATGTCAGGCTCACTCTAGTGGTTAACCATAGCAAGATTTGTGTGTGTATTATTTGTTCGTTTGTTTAGATTCGCTGAAGATTAATTTTTGTCATATTTGACAGCCACAAAAAATGTATATGTATTTAAAAAAGTCAATTGATAAATTCCAGGCTTGTAAAACGAAACCCAGGTGACAAACAGTAATGCTAATTGGACCTACCGCAAACATTATTGGTAGAGTTTATTTGAGACGACGGTAAAGTTAGTTTGACGTTTGACATTCATTAGACATTCGGGTTTTTTGCCAATTAAACTCTTTGCAGCTTTTATGTTTTGAGCCCAAACTAACTCAGATAGACATAAATATATGCCCTTTATGTTGCACAAGGCTTAATTTCTAGGAATTAAAAAAAAAGAAGTAACCATTTAAATTAATTAAACAATTTAACTACGTGACATTAGAATATAAAACCAATACTAAAATGTTCGGGAAAACATACCTGTTATCGCACAAAGCTCCGGCATATATTTATGTCTATCTGAGTTAGTTTGGGCTCAAAACATAAAAGCTGCAAAGAGTTTAACTGGCAAAAAACCCGAATGTCTAATGAATGTCAAACGTCAAACTAACTTTACCGCCGTTATGTGAAGCCCTCTCTCTGCACTGGACATATTGCTATCATGTTTGACCCATCTCTCACTTCTGTTGTACACACCATCTCTCGTGTTAATGACTGCATTCCTCGTCTCTAACAATGCATGTCTCCACCGCATACTGCTGACAGATGCTGAAACTCGTTACGTGTCTGAGCTGCCCTGTTATTGCCTCAGAACAGTAACATTAGTACCGTGTTTCAAGCTCGGAAATCAGATTCCATCACACTGCCTAGTGTGTCTGCCTAGTAGGCCTATCTGGCAGATACTTTTATCCAAAGTTACTAAAAACTAGTGCAAACGATTAATCGCATCCAAAATAAAAGTTTTTGTTTAAATAATATATGTATGTGTACTGTAGGCTATATTTATTATGTATATATAGAGTATATATATATATATATTAAATATTTACATGTATATACATTTATATATTTATATTATACATAAATATAGGCCTATTTAATATATAAACAACATTTTTCTTAAATGCATGTGTTTGTATTTATATATAATAAATATACACAGTACACACACATATATTATGCAAACAAAAACTTATTTTGGATGCGATTAATCGCAACGAATCTTTTGATAGCACTACTAAAAACACAATCATTACAGAGAGCTACTCCTTCACAGACTCAAGACCTCTAGTCTGTCACCGGGTTTCGGTTATCCTCTATTTATGGATTACTTGTAAACTTGTGCCACCTACTGGTGGAACTAAATAATTACACCATTTTTTTTTAATCACTTTTATTTATTTTTTATTCCTCTGGCTATTAATCATAATTACAGCATTTTTTCTGCTGTTGATATATAGGCCTACAATATGTCTGTTTTGTCCCCTCCACTATAGCTTTTATTCCACTTGAGTATTTTTTTTTTTTTACCAACCAGTACAATACAAAGTTTTATTTATTTATTTATTTACACAACAGTACAAACTTTTAGGAGTAAACATGCAGTCAGCACAAGGCAACATGACAATCTCATATAAATGTAATGTATGCAGGTCCAGATCTAACGTCATTGAGAAAATGCTGATAAATTTTGGAATTTTTTTCTACCAACTGGGACACAATATATAGTAATATTTGGGGTAATATATATATATAATGAGAGAAAATAAGGGTGTTGTTGGGTGGCAGTTGTGTTTATCTAGCTTGACTTGTGACAGGTTCACGGGCATCCATTTCCCGAGACATCTGACACCATACACAGGGACAACAACAGAAGGAAAGTAAGCAGTCCTTCGCGATACTACCCTAGAGATAGAGAGAGATTAATTTACAAATACAAGGGAGGAATTTATAAGGCACAATAGTTGTTTGAATAGTTGTAGTAACAGTGTGGTTTTGTATACCAGACATACAAACTAAGATATTTTGTAAGACATTTTTACAAAACATTCATAGGAGAGCCTTTAGAAAGATGAACATGTGTCCGAACCTCAATGCTGTAGCGATGGCGCATGGACACCCTCATCAAACCAAACTGATCAATCAGAGGAAGGCAAAAACACTCGCCATACCTCTTAGCCGTATTACACGCAAAACAAGGAAAGCAGAAGAATGAAATGCAACCTATAAATGCAATTCTACTGTTAGTGATGCGAAAACATATGAATGACAACTAAATGATGATACTCAGAAGAGACTCACAGATTTTTTTATTGTTTAAGTCCACGCAGCCAAAGGTTCCAGTACTCCAGTGGTTGGAGGCTTTGGGCTGCTGAGATGACATCCTGTGTATTGCTTTTAAGATAGCCTACTTAGAGGTGTTAACATAAATAATTAAAAACAACAAATTAGCTGCACATATTTCTGCAACGAATGGTGAATAATCAGTTAACATTATATTTTGTAATCATGGCCTAAATATTCTGAATACACTAAATGCATTATATTTATTACAATGTATTTATTAAATGCAGAAATGAACACGTTATTTTCCCAACCCTATTTTGTTTAGATAAGCTTGGTTCCATTTCCAGACGCCGTGGTATTGATATTGTATGCCTATTCTTTACTGAAAATGGGTCACAAACACAATGTATATCTACTCTTTAATCTGTGCCAGTATAAATTCAGCAACATGCATATCAAAGGCAAATT